CACACACACACACACACACACACACACACACACACACACACACACACCCCGTATAAGTTTTAAACAAACAATTTAATACTGTACACAGCAATGATGATTGTGAAGCTTGGTGGAGGTGGTGAAGTCAGAGGGTGGGATATTTCCTAGGGAATGCCTTACTGCTAAATGATGAACAAGCACTCGGCTGAGCCCTCAAGGGTTAACACATTGTTGTTAATGTAGCCTCACCCTCTGCAAGGCAGCACAAATGGAGGGAGAGGAGATAGCATGGCAGACAGAGACAGAGACACACCCTGTGTGAGAGAGAAAGAGATGCGCATTGCCCCTTTAAGTACGCTGACCTCACTTTAAGTACATTGCCTTTTTAAGTAGATCAGCAAGTTGAAACAGCAGCTGCTGTGAGCAAGCTCCCTCTGTCCTGAGTCCTGTCGTGTGTGTCCCTCCCCCACTCTATGGAGATGGGGTAAGCAGGGGACAGGAGCAGGGGGGAGGGGAACACCCTGACATTAGCCCCCCACTTCCCCCTCCCCCCCTGCACAGCAAGCAGGAGGCTCCCGGGAGCAGCTCCAAGGCAGGAGCACCACACGGCAGTGGCGGGAGGGACAGCTGAACTGCTGGCAATTGGTAGCCTGCTGGGCAGCTGCCTCACAGGGAACTTAGGGGAGCGGGGAGCTGATGGGGGCCTGCCGGTCCACCCTGGTTACAAGCCCCCACCAACTAGTTCCAATGGGCTGCTCTTTCTGCAAGCAGTGGACAAAGCAGGCAGCTGCCAAACAACGTTATAAGGGAGCACTGAACAACTTTAAACGAGCATGTTCCCTAATTGATCAACAACGTTAACCGGGAAGACTTAAAGTGAGGAGTTACTGTACATTTATATGCTGTTTACATTGCATTTCTATATTATTCCTAAAGCTGTCTGCTTTAACACGTTATGTTTATGTACTCTTAAAAAAAAGAACAGTTTTCAGCTTCATTATTTGTTTTTATTAATTAAAAAATCCTTTAAAGTATCAGAGTGCACATGGTGGTTTTTTATCTTCAATTTTGCACATTTACGCTGTGTTTTACATTTTTTAAACATTATTAAACATTTGTATGTATAGCTTTACAATACCTGATTAACTGTCTGGCACTTTTATACATGTATCAGTCCAACCTGATACTCAACTTCACATGGATTTTTGAAAGTTTGCCTGAAATATCTCAAAGACGAAGATTTACAAGAGCACCTATGTATCAGCAATTCTGAGATACACACAGAGACCGTTTGAAAGGTGGTTGTTGTTTAAAAAAAATCATCATGTAAACTCTTGCAAACAGTACAGGTAATGGAGTTCCATTACTTTATAGTCTAATAAATAAAATTTTAGCTACTATGATGTAGCTTTAAGGCCTTCATACAGTTGAAAAAGAAATTAAGATTAAACATCTTAAAACCCTGTTCATTGTAAAAAATACAGAGCTTTTACAGGTTTGCAGTTAAAATGAACAGTTAAGAACCTAACATGCATGCAAGAAATCTTTTCCAACCCAATTCCAAATCCTTGGTGCTGGCAATTCTGGCACATCCATTGCCAGCAATGGGATGCACACTAAGTAAACTCCCTGATGTCAGGAGTCAGGTTAACAGGTATTAAGCCACACCAGGGTGCCTTTCTGATAAATATACACAACTTAATAATCAGTATTCAGTATTTGATGAAGACATGCGTTCTAATTAAAAGGTAAAACTTATCTTTCCTACCCTGTCAGTATAAAACCATCTCTGTATGTTTACAACTGTAGGTATTTCAAAACACGCAATAATCAGGTGGATACAAGACAGGAAGCCAGTTTTCAGAAAAAGATGCACAATGGGTCCATCCAAGTAACTTCATTAACTAAAGAAATATAATTGATAAGCAAAAAAATTAGATGATTCTTTTGACACGGATATCTTCTCTCATTCTTTCTTAATCTAAAGTGCATGTTAAAGAGGTTCATTGTAAGAAGCATAACTTCAATTTATTGCTTTCTGGAGCTCTAAACTTTCATATAGAATGGTTTTAGTTTTTGAAGACCGGTATTTTAGCTTTAGTGAACAAAATGTAGTCTTAAGCAGCACAAGAATCCCAGTAAACTTGGGGATTTTTTTCTCCTTATACCCGTTTTAAATAACTGTATAGTTAATTTAACTTTAGGTAAGCAAAATGTCTTTAGGGCCCACATTTTCTCTGTGCTGTTCAACTTTAAGTACTTCAGAATAAAACACCCGGAATTCATGTGCAAGTCTAGACAGTAGTCAGGGCACTAGTATGCCTCTGAACAACAATTTCCTAATCTAGATACAGTGGTAAAATGAACAAACCACTTAAAACATTTTGGCCTCAATTTAAAAACTGGCTTTAACTTTAAAACCTGAGAAAGTAAAGTTAGGCTCATGAATCCATATCTAGGAACTTAAATAAAAGTGGCCTGATTTCCAAAGGTGGCGAGTACCCACAGCTTAGACAACTTGTCATTACCATGAGCTTTGCTAAGCGACTGAGGGGAATTAAAAAGTACCTTTTCAAAGTGCTCCTTGAAACTGTTAAGGAGCACCCTTAATTTTATACTGCTGCTTCAGAAAGCTTTGAGCAGAGGCAGTGGTGGTGTTGTTAACTGAGCATCCACCAAGTAAGAATAGCTAAGGGGAAAGAAAGAGGTCTCACTTCTCTCTCTCCCACCCACTTTGCAACAGACTGGGAAGGGGTTATTGAAGGAAGGGCTCTGAAGTGAGTGAAGAAGAGACAAGCCCTTTCTCCCTTTCAGCACCTGGCTGGGGGGAAGCTAAGAGGCGGATATAAAAGATGGAATTCCCGTGAAACGTCCAGGGAGCATGCCCAAATAGGAATCCAAGCACCCTCCTGCTTACCAGAGGCTAGAGGACTGGGCTTCTGGATATTGCCTTTGGACCTCACAAGTGCCCCTCCGCCCCACATCTTTCTTGCACACCTTTGAGCTAGTGAGCTTAATCCCCTGGCTAACTGGTGCCAGATAAATTCATTAAGTCCAATCAGAACCCCTGCTGAATTTGGGGGGAGGTAAAAATGTTTCAGATTTGAATATTCCTGGATCAAAAGCCTATCCAGTACGTTCTGTTCCAGAATCTCAGTGAAAATTTTCTGAAACTCAATAGTTTAAGCAGTATATAATGAACATACATTTACATCTCCTAATATTAAGAGATTCTTCAGCATACATAATACCCCTCCATAATTAAATGGATTTATTGACTACCCCTTACCTGAATACAATTTTTCAAGTTTTCCTTGGTTGGCTTCTCTTCTGCAAGTTTTGTGGCAAATTTGAGACCTCTTCCATACATTTTATTTGCCAATGCATGCTTATAGGCAAACGTTAAAACCTACAGTACGTTAACAAATAAAAAAAGTTAGAAATCTACCACCATATTAAAACTAGCATTGTTCAGATAAAAAACAATTTAAAGCAGACAAGTCAAAGTTAAACATTTTACCAGACTGTTTCGAATTTATTCTTATGTTGATGAACACAGATGAATCACAGCAATTACTGTACTTGTGTTTTAATTCTAAAATAAGAGCAAGTGTTTGTCACTATCACAAACTTCAGAACATTTTATGAGGATTCAGAGATCTCATTACTCAAACAGCTGTACACTGGATCACATTTATAGCTATTTAGATTTTTCAACAACTGCCTAAATACACAGTACTGTAAATAAATGATAAAACAGCCAAGTTTTTTTTTAGCCCATGGAAAAAAGTAATGTCAGATTGTGGGATATGAATCCCAGCAAGTATTAAACTGATTGCATAACAAACACGAACAAAAACAGTGGATGGTGTATACACACATGTACATAATTATAAACAAGCAATGCAAACAGATAAGCATGAAAACAGGCCTCAGTTTTTGCTTAATATATTCATCATGAGAATTTGCTTGCTAAGATATGAAAACCAGAGCGTTTGTTGATTACGAGGGTGAGTAATTTATTTGCAACACTGAGCTTTTAGTACCTTATCAACATTACACATAAAAAGTGCAGGTGAACACACCTGCCCACCATAGAGATGTCAAATAAAACTGATTCCTTAACAGCCTAACAAATAATTAATGAAGAAGATTTTGGTAGATTCTCCATGCTACTTTACTGTTACAGAAATTAGCGCTTGTGCTAACCCAAGTCTTTCACCTTTGATACAATCCACTACATATATCCATAGTGAATATCTTATTTTAATTTCTTATATAAAAGTGATACACCAGGACAACTACAGGGATATGGCAAAAAGGCTTTAGAAAAGCTAGTTACTTCAATCTGGGATGCAATTTTTTCCCCACCCCTATTTGCAACCAATAAAAATCTAGTTTTCCCAGCTGACTGGTCACCAGAGTGACAGATATTGCAACCCTATGCAATATCTTTGGAGACCACTGTATACATTTATTAGTAGCATAATACGTGAAGTACAGTAAGATACTACAAGTTCATAAGCGCAGAAGTTTTCCGTGGCATAAAAAGAAACCTCCAGCTTCAGCATCTGTGCATGCACCGGCCAAATTAAGTCATACTGTAAAAATTGCAATGTAAAAGAAAGATTGTAGTCACTACATTGGTTAACATAAAAGAGCAGATAACACAGAAGAGTAAACACACTTAGTTTTTCTTCAGTATGAAATACAAAATAAAAATCAAATTGGAAGCAGCATCTTGATAATAATTTATTTTCCCATGTGAATGCACGACAAAGTAGGTAGACAAACTCAATTGCTTTTTTTGCATATCATTACAAAATTTTTGGATGATGGGAATGTAATAGGTGTGATATCTGCATTTTTATTGGGCGTTTGATATG